GGGTGGGGGTTAATGATGCGTCCGACTATCAATGAGGAGTCCGACTGTCTACGGAAAAAAATTTGCGATGGCGTCAGCAGCTGAAACAACGCGACGGCTTCAAGATACCGAAAAATATCCGACGCGTTTTGACCAATCACGAACGAGAATAGACTTTGAATATATATAAACATAATTATTTAAAAACTGTTAATTTAAACGCAGTGGTATAGAAGAGGACTCAGGGGAATTGAACTCCCCTTGTTAAAGTTTCATGTTGATTTGAACAATTGAGGGGCTGAGCCCCCAACATTTTTGCAGGTTGTATAATCTGCAAATATGTCCAACTGTACTGTTGAAACGACGCAGTAGATCTGTATTTAATTAGTATATGTTCCTACCATTAGATATTAATTTATTTGGCTCCAGAATGAAATAGCAAGTCACGAGCTCTTTCTTCGAAAAACACTAATTGTGAGGATTTGCTAGTACAAAAGTAAATACTGGGACTTTCCATGTTTATCAACTAATATATAAGTTGCACCTTATTAAAAATCAGGTTATTAAAATACATCTTGAAATATGTATATAATATACAATTATTGGACGAAGTTGAGCAAAATATCGTGATTAATTTGTCAGTGGCGAGCAGATCAATTATATTATTTGCCGATGCCGAAGGCAGAGACAAATAATTGATCTGCGAGCCACTGACAAATCGCGATATTTTGCGATAACCCAGTTCAATAATTGTTTTATCAGTTACTTATTCATTTTCGTAAATGAATAAGTATAAATTATATTATATAATAACTACAGTGAAACACGCAATTTGATTGGTCAATAGCCGTGCAGGATCAGGTTATCCTGCCGAGGAATTAAAATGCCTTCGCGGGATTTTCAAAATGTCATTGTTTCACTGTAGTTATTTTATAAAACAATTACCAAATGGTTTTTTCCAAGCAGGATAGCGTGATCCATGCATGCACATAGGATGTTGCTCGACTTTCGGAAAGCGTAAAAACACCATTGAACTATAGATAACTGGAAGGCTAACTCCTATGATGAAGGTCTATGATTCGTTGAAGCCGGCGCGCGGGAAAATTAGCTTTCAAAAGGAATTTGGTCAAAAGTTTGTTTTCGAACAAAAAATTGCAAGAAATTAAAAACACTTTTTACATAGGAATACTACAATGATTGGGATTCAAACCAGGTTTTCCGATTAGTTCCAACTGTTTTACGTATACATCTCTCTGCAGCAAAAAGTGAGGAGTTTTGCTTTTGTATTTTGAAAAAAATGACGAAAGTTTGGACGTGCCGAAGGAAACCTCGCTCTTCAACTCAAAAAAATATACTATAAAACATTTTGACAGTCCCAAAACTTATGTTGTACTAAACCCCAGGTATTGTTATTGATCCTGAGTTTTTAGTCCTTGTTTTATTCCTTCTAAAACATAAATAAATTGCCGTTTTTCAAGTGATGTTATTTTCGTCATCGCTCGTCTTGTTGGCCACTATGAGCACTTTGAATATGGCAATGTTTTTGTCAATTTTTAAATGCTTTTTTTTCCGACCTTAAAACGTTCAATCTTCTTGAAACTTCGCATACAGATGTATTTTGCATGGGTTTAACTAATTCCTGAGGTATGATATCTTAGTTTTATCTTAATTCCGACTTTCAAATATTCAGAAAAAAGTCAAAACGCGCGGTTTTTCTGACCGTTCATGCTTATGGTCGTATTTTTCGGGGGTTTTTGCTACTGGGTTCGTGATTTGTTTGCTTTGCGAATATTAAATTCGTTTATCATACTACTGATATAAATTAAATTCGGTGGTATAACTAATATTTTGGGGAAAGATTTTTCTGATCAAAAAATGTGCATATTTTGAAAAAAAAATAAAAAAAGGACTGGGTCTACCTACAAAAAAGCTTCAAGCACGGCTTCACTCCCCTCCTGACTTAGCCTTCTAGTTATTTATAGTTCAATGAAAAATACACTCACTTGCGGCTCGAGTATTTTTACGCTTTCCGAGAATCTCGCGACATCCCTTGTGCATGGATCACGCAATCCTGCACGGAAAACCATTCGGTCGCATTACCTAAGGGCATTCACAATATTTTCAAATATTTTAAACATGCATGCATGTTTAGGCAAAACTATTTGGCACTTATGTACATATCTCCTTGTATATGATAGATTAAAGTATATTATATTAGTAACATATATCAATAAATTAAAGTATATGAACTGTTATTGATAGAGAGTAGTACTACTATGCGACGCGGGCTAGGAATGGATTGCGAGCCGTGCGAGGCATTCTAACCATGAAGGAAAACCTGCATGCGAGTCTTTACAACTGAAATCTGAGTTTTTAGTTATTTAGCCAGGAAAATATTTATACATATCTTGGAAGATCAACCAAAATAATTGCATGAAGCACTAAAAAGTGGCATGCAAAGAAAATATTTAGTTTAATTAAAATTTACTTCTAATTTCCCAATTTTTAATCTTCGTTTCAAACTCTTCTGCGAAACATTATTATTTTTATACATGGCTCAAAGTATTCATGTTTTGGGTGCCTCGCGTATGGCTCACTGACTCACACTTTGAAAAGACCTGTTGTTATAGATATTGGAGACTGTTCAGTTGACGATACTTGCAAGCCTCAAAAATATAAGCAAAAAGTTTTAACCTTTCGAGCTAAGGTCCTTGTTAGCAAATGTAGAAGAAGCTGCTGTATTGGTTTTAATCGGTCCAGACGAAGGGTTCTTCGCTCGAAATGTCGAAATCCTCTACTTATGTATTCAGTCAGTCTGATGAGTATACTATATAGATCTCAGACCTATCTCACTGACCCCGAGCATATCCAAAGTAGCTGAAGAATGTGTGGTAAATAGATATATCAAACCTGCGGTTCTGAAATCCATCGACTCAAATCAATTTGGTTCTATTCCTAATTTTTCAACCACTTTTGCTTTAATAGATATGTTACATCACTGGACCTCAATGCTGGACGGAACAGGAGCAACTATCCGAGTGTTTCTATTTGACTATAAAAAGGCATTCGATTTCATCGATCACAGTATCCTAAGGATCAAGTTAGGTGCTTTAGATTTACCAACTAGTATCATCAACTGGATTATCGACTTTTTATCGGATAGATATCAAAGGGTTAAGCTGTCAAATAGTTGCCTTTCTGAATGGGGCCAAGTACCGGCTGGTGTTCCTCAAGGAACCAAATTAGGCCCTTGGCTCTTCTTAATAATGATTAATGATTTGAAGAAACATAGTGAGAACTTATGGAAATACGTTGACGATACCACGGCGTCGGAAGTCGTATTGCAAGGCGAGCACAGTGAAGCTCAACTGATTGCAAATGAAATTTTAGATTGGTCCAATATCAATAGAATGCAATTAAATGCTGATAAATGTAAGGAGATACGAATTTCTTTTGCTCGGAATCAACCCGAGCTTAACCCAATTTCAATTGAGAATCAAATCATAGAAGTTGTATCCGATTTTAAAGTGCTTGGTCTTAACATTAGCAACAACCTTACGTGAGGGTCCTGAAGGGGGGGTCCCAATCCCATTTCCCACCTGAAATTTTGGCAAATCCCAGTCCCAGTTGGGTTTTTATTAGAAATCCCAGTCAATAAAAACCCCTTTATTTATCGGTGGAATAAACAGTTTTAAGACCTTTTAAGCAAGTGGCGGACACTTTATGAAATATTAGGGGGGGCTCGTGCCGAAGGCACAGAAAATTTTTAAATTTGAATCCCAGAAATTGCATTTGCAGCATTCTGAGACACGTATAATCAGAAAACCCAGAATTCCGGGCGCCAGAGTATGCCTGTTCGCAGGTAGTGCTGTGAATAATATAGTTAACAACAAAAATCATGACCAAAGACACCAAAAATGGATCAAAATTGTATTTTAAAATACTCAAAACGCAGAAAAATTGGGAATCGACTCGCATTACCTCAATCCCATACCCATTTTTGTGGACTTCATTTCCCATTCCCAGTGACCAAATCCCAGTCCCAGCAACCCAAATCCCATTTTCCCAGATCAATCCCAGTTCCCATTTTACCCCTTCAGGGCCCTCTTACGTGGAATAAACATATCACTGAATTAGTCAAGAAAGCCTCCAAAAGGATATATTTCCTTATTCAACTTAAGAGAGCAAAAATCCCAATACAAGAACTAATCACATTTTACATAACCTGTATAAGATCTGTGTTGGACTATGCTGTCGTCCCGGTTTTCCACTACAGCCTACCCAAGTATTCAAGTCAAGATTTGGAACGAGTCCAGAAACGCGTATTTGGAATTATTTATCCCCATTTGAAATATGAGGAAGCTTTAAATCTCAGTGGAATTGAACATCTTTCCACTCACCATCAAAACGGCTGCAAGAAATCGTTTAATGCAATTATCAAAGATTCTAATCACAGTCTACATTACCTCTTGCCGCCAAGGCATAACTCCATCCACGACCTGAGATCTATTAGATCTTTTGACGTTCCAGTTTGTAAAACCAATCGGTTTAGTAATAGTTTTATTATGGCATCGAGTAGCAAAACTGAGTAGGTTTTACTCTTCATTTACCTATTTTATATTCTTAATAACTTTTGCATGCTTATTATAAACAGACACTTTTGACAATTTAGTTAATTAATTATAATACTTTGATATATTTCAAAACTCTAATTTTTAATAATTTTTAATTGTAAGTATAATACGCAATTCAGCTCATGGCTGCAATGTATTTACCATTTTTAAATAAAGTATATAAAGTATATAGTAATAAAAAAATATTCAACAGTTCGCTGTATCAGAAAAGAACTAATGTCAAATTGTGATGCCAAAATACAAACAAACAAATCACTTTATTAAAGAATCCTTTATTATTAAAGAATCCTTTATATGTCAGGTAGAATTAGGGAAAAACAAACAACATACATTTAATTAAGCCAAAAACTGAGGTGCAAATATTGCACTGTTCTATATCTATTGTCTTCATTGTCTTGGACAAGACACGGCCTTATTTCGCATGACTGAGTTGGCGCAACAATGCTGGGAGGTTAATGAGTAATAGTCTTGACCACAGCAGTCATGACCTGGAATTCTGTTGTGAACTGTACCACAGCAGCATACTTGGTTTGCTGGATTGTAGCCTTTGTTGCGACATAGAGCTCCTGGAAGATAGATAGCGGTATATTATCAGTGATTGTGGTACAATTGTGACGGTTGTGATGGTGGTGGTGATGGTGATAATTGTGACTGTGATGATGATGATGGTGCACATTGGTGATGCAGATGATTGTAATGGCGATTCAGATGTTGGCCAGTGAATATGTTAGTGATGTTGGTGTTGATGATGGTGATGGAAGCTATGGTCATGATGATGGTGGTCAGGACTGTAGTGATGATATTAGTTGTGCAGGCAGTGATGATACATGATCATGATGATGCTGGTACGTTGTGATCAAAGTGGTGCTGGTTATCATTATGACGGTGGTTATTTTTATGACAACAATAGTAATTGTTTACAATATGACAGTGTATCATGTGTACATGTATATTGATCATGTTTCTATATTCAATCAATAGTATTAAATAACCTACCTCTTACTTCAAACATAACTGCACATCGGTGATCAAACTGATCATTTATGTTGTATGTATATACGACCGTGTGTTGGCCAATGGCAAACAACTGTCCCGGTGTAACTTGAGGTGCTAATACAGTCTTTCTTATTGCTTCGGAACATGTGGATAGCGGGGCTGTCCATGTTACAGCGGTGGTCGTTTCACCAGGGGTTACCCTAAACGTTTTCAGAACTGGCAGTGGACAACTGCATTCTAGAGAAAGGACACGAGATCAGGAATGAGTCACAAGTACTGTGCCGAATATTACGATTTTAATATCGTAAACGTGGGGTCCAATGCAGGTAATACTTCTAGTGTAGATAGCACAATAAGCAGTAATTTTTTATGTGTGAACAGTCCGCTTTGTCATGGCAATGTAGTACCGACTATCAGCCATAAAGTAGTAGTGTAACTTTTATAGCTTAACTATTGGAAATTTGCTACTTTTGTTTTACTAGGCTCAAAAACAGTCCTGACCTTTTAGAGACGTTGCATTCACAAAATTATAAGGCAAATTTACCAAAAGTAAAAATATGGCTAATGACTTCGATTGGCGAAAAAACCCGAGTTAAACAGTTTAGGATAAAAATAATAGGATTTACAAACCTTTGACTTCGAAACGAACGGTACACGTGATATCATTTCTGTTGGTGGTCTGGTACAGGTAGTCTACTCTATACTCCCCAGGTTTAACCATCTGTCCAGGACGGGCGTCTGGTGTTATTGTTCGTAATCGTCCACCGCATGTCGGGCGTGGCACAGCCCACGTGACACTAATCGTAAGATCACCCTCTTTCATGTACCTTGTACCAAGATTCACTGCTAGACATTTGCATGCTAGAGATGGAGAGATATAAACTGTCCACTGCATTGAATTATTCTGCAAGTGCAATCTGATTGATGGTCTACTCGCCACATGTGGGCTCATATAATACAGTGAGTAGTGAATACAAAACTGCAGAAGTTTTGCGAAATGGAAAACAGCAAGTTAGTCACATTTGAATTATAACCTTACTGTCGTTCCAATTGAAGTGTTTTTCAAATATTGATTCAATACATTACCTCGGGCTGACCAATTCATTTGATCAAATTCCTCGAAATATTCATACACTTCCTAGTATAATTGTAAACTTCCTGTTGAATAGTTTGAATGCACCAATCACCTTTGTTGTTTGTGCAACTAACCAATCATAAATAGAAAGAAAGTGACCAGAAATGATCAAATTCTTGGAATTGGCTCTTTCACAGGAAGCGTATGAATATCTCGAGGAACTTGATGAAATGAATTGGGCAGCCTGAGGTAATGTATTGAATCAATATTTGAGGAACACTTCAATTGGAACGACAGTAATAAGAATACGAATACCGTGAAAAAGTTCATATCAATAGACCTTAGAAGTGCCTATACGACACGTAATTTTCAATACAGAGGTCTTCTGGAATGCATAGAGCATTGTGGGATACTTTTGGGTCAATAATTCATTGTTTGAAAATTATGTGACATAAGTACTTCTACGCCCGTATTCTAAAAGCTCACTCACACTCACACTCTCGAGTGTCATTGCTGTTTTTGAATAGCTGGAGGGCTAGTGTCGTACCTTACTGTGTGACTGCTCACCCTCCTGCTATTCAAAAACAGCATTGACACTCGAGAGAAGCTCAGATTGAACCTTCACTCATTGAGTGTGAGCTTTTAGAATACCGGCGCTAAGGTCCATTGTTTACTGGTCAGCAAATAGTTTTATTAGCTATCTTTAATCTAGTTACCTGATACAACACAGGCGAGTGCTATGGATCGAGACCGCACCAGGACTGAAAATCGTTCATGTATAATGAACATTTGCAATTAGGGTTATATGTTAAGTCTGCTGTAGAGTATGGTCACAAAGTGGTAGCCTTACTTATCCGACCGTTTCACTACCTTCGTCAAAAATGTTAATAATCGGTGATACTGAACTCTCTTACATTTACCTAATTCTATAAATCAAAGAAGTTTGCACTTTTGAGGCGAGTCCTTTTTATTGGGAGGGGTGCCCGTTTTACAGTTTTTTGTATAATAAAGCGTTTAGAGCTTACTAGCTAGGTGCCTCTCGCTGCCCCCAAGGGATCATCTCTGATCACGGATGACAACTGAAGTGGAAGGTATTTTAGTCAGATTTTGGTGAGGGGAAAAAAACGGAGTACTTTTGGAGAAAAACCCTCAAAGCAGAGCTGAAAACCAACCACAGCTCTACTTACATGCAAGTATATTCAAGCAAATCAAGTTAGAGCTGGGCAGTCCGCATCAAGAAACAATTCCACACCTAGTAGCCTAACACAGTAGTAAGGGGCAGCGGAAGTGACCGCATCTGCCACCTGTGTTTTCCATACTTACGAGGATCAATGCACGACTGATTTATATTTCGTAAAGTTGACACTGGACAACACCGTTGGATGGATTTCGAGAAATAATCAGTGCCACAGCATTGATAGTTATATTTCTTTTCATGTATCTGCCCACAGCAACAAACGTCCTGTCCAACCGAGTAAGCCTTGCCACGGCACATGTTTGCCCCTTAGACGAAAATTGGTTTCATAGTAAAAATGGATGAATATAGCTGACGCGTACGAGCGAAATATCATACGAATATTTGTCTCGCAATTTTGTTGCGACACAAGTTGCACGCGAAATTGCAAGGTGTATCATGTCTCCCAATCAACAAGTCTCGCAATATTATTGTTGCAACAACCATTGCACGAAGTAGAATCAGGTTCTACTTTTTGCAAGAATTGCGGCAACGCATTTTTTAAGCATTGCACAGTGTAACATCTGTCTTGCTACTAGTCTCGCAATGTTTATACACTGAAGCCATTCCTATTGGCTTTTGACTGTCAATCTGGCACCAAACGTTAGCACTCGCAGTTTTTATACTGTTATCATTGCAAGTTGCATGGGACACATACTGCTTGGTGTAACATCCCTTGCAATGCAATGCTGAAATCGTATTTCTTAACATTGTGAGATAAGTTCCGAGACAATTGCAAGTTGCATATTGTAACAGCGCCTTAATGCAGTGCATTTTTTAAGGATTCTTAAGTGGTGGAGCGAAACTGCCAAAAAGGACCCATTCTCTCCTTGCCCTCCCCCCAGGATAGTATATGAAATCGCCGAAGGTGTGAGCCGAGTACCGTAGGCACGAGTTAGCTGTGGAGGTCTGGGGCCATAGCCCCTAAGAAATTTTTAAAATTTGGGTCTCTGAAACTGTCATTTCCTGCATTCTGAGAACACATTTTTAAAAAAATTTCAGCTGTTTAAAACAAAGTTTTAATGGTGAAATTTGTGATAAATTGCATGCTAAATATTCAAACACAACATAAGTTTAAGTATAATCACCAACAAATTTTGTTTTTTAAACTTCTTTTCAATGTCGGTTGAACTCATTTACTCAATACAGGACTTAGGGCCCTGCATGGCTTTGGGGCAATAGATCATTTTTTTTCTTCAGTGGTGGGGCAGAAGAAAAGGCCCAGTGGGGCAAATGCCCCACCAGTCCATGGTATTAAAATATGCCTTGCCTTAAGGACTTTTATTTATTCAAGACTCACATCTGCCGAAGAAGTATTACAGTAACTGTGTTACTGAGGCCTGAGAGGCCTGATATGGTGCATTTACACCTGATATGCGCAACAAAATGCCCAATCCGGACTTTTACAATGAATGGAAATTTGTCTTGGGATAATCCAAACCTGTTTACTATTTACATCCACTATATGAGAGACCAACTACCTTTTCTGCATGACCTGAAATTACGGTTTCAGGTTGATTCTCTAGCTCATTCTTAGCTCAGTTCATGCGATCGCGAGAGGCAAAATGGTTTCATATTTATCCGTGTGAACGTAACCTGAATATCAGGCGTACATTTTTCCCACCTTGACGCAAAAATGGGGAATCGGGTGGAAGAGAGGCACGGGGCGAATGGGACCTCATGGTCATACTGTTTAGTCAATTACGGAAGAGCACCTGAGAGATTTTCCTCTAATCATTTGAGTTCCATGATTTCCACAGACTCATTATACAGTTGTTGGTATGGAGAACGGTCACTGGATCGTATAGCAGGGGCGTCGGAACAGGTTCTGGGGCAAGGGTGACTATAGCCTAACCCCAAGAAGTAAAAGTGGTGGACGGGCTAAGCCCCCACCCCTCCAAGAAAAAAGCACGATCAGAGTAAGACAGTAACACGAAGATTCTTGATGGATGCTTGAAAAGCAAAGTGAACAAACTTTCCAACATTATATAGTTAATGAAATAATCCCCAAGTGAATTTAAACTGAGAGCGCTAGCGTTTAGGCATCATGCAGTATAACAATTTTCACAGGGGCTAAGCCACCCTAAAGTAGATCAAGTCGTACATGTCTTGTTTAAAAAGAGTGAGCTTTTTCCATTGAACTATGCTAATTTGCCGGCGATTTTAGCCCCCACCAAGTCATCAAACCGATGAAAACCTGTTGATTCATTATGAAGCCATTATTTGTAGCATGTTTGCCGTCCAAACTTCAGAAGGTACAGTTAATGGCATTTCCGAGCATCAATTTTTTTCCCAGGGGAGTATGCTTCCGGACCCCATAGTTTTCAGCATACCTGACTTTAAATATCTTTCCACGCTACTGCTATTACAGTTAGATTGTTTTTTCCCATGACGTATTGGCACTTAGTTGAAAACTGCGCTGCGGTACCAAACTTAGCTAAAAACTATCCCCCCTCCCTTCAAACAAAACCTGTTCCACCGCCACTGTCACTGAGTGCCAGTATTGTTACATGTGGTGTGGCCATTAAGAACTTTTTAAATATTTTGATTATACAAACCTTTAATAACTTCAAAACTGATATCACACTTCACCTCAGACCCTGGTGTCTCGCTCACACTATATGTGTACTCTATATTATGTCGACCAACATGAAACAAGTCTCCAGACTGGACAATTGGTTCGACACTCGTCAGAGAAACTTTGGCGTTTGAATCGCTGCAGCTTGGTTGAGGTCTATCCCATGATACTTGCCGTGATGAGCTGTCAGATTCAAGAATAAACTGATCGCCAAGCTCCACTGCCGGACACTTACAAGCTGAGAAAGAAATTAATGTTGTGGTTTACATACTATAAAAACGGATAATCTGTCTGGACAAACAGGGAGAAAGATCTACGATATATGTTGTTTAATAGCAAAATGCATGCACAAACCATATCTACAGTACGTCTGCACAGATGATATTGCGTCCATATTTCATCTTTACATTACTAGATGAAATTAATTATTTGGAAAATATCAAGTATGATTTGTTCATATAATACTTTTCGTTTGTGGAAACATCATGTAAATTTATTACTGCAGAGCTTTCGATCCGTAAGCCCGGATCTTCATCAGTGCTAATAATATGAAGAAGATGATGAAGAATGATGAAGATGAAGATCACTGATGAAGATCCGGGCTTACGGATCGAAAGCTTTGTAATAATAAATTTACGTGGTGTTTACACAAACAAAAAGTACAGTATTTATATGTTTTATCGCCATGCAAACCTACAAAGAACTTATTATGATTTGTTCGCAAATCATTTAACATTGTGGTCGCGCTTTTTCTTATTACTCGTCTAAATATTTTCTCTTGTGTAATTGTGTTAGTCATACCAAGATAATTAAATGGTGATCATATGATCCGATCTGCTTCTAGTCAATGTCATGAGAGGGAAGGATACGTAAAATTATTATAACTTATTCACAAGGGGGAAAATGTCTCGAGATCAAGTCTACGAGACACCACTTGTTTCTCTAGATGCTCCGGGTTTCTTCTGCAGTACGCCTGGATGAATAAGGGATACTCCTTACTTGCTGTAACTTTTTCTAGTGGTAAGGGACTGGTCATAAAGTAACTGCTAGGATGGGCCGGAAGAAATAAGGATGGGCCATGAAATTATTTTCATCAGTTTGGGTGGGTCATCAATTTGTTTTTTGTGGAAATGGATGGGCTATGAAACACGGATAGCCTGTTTGCATAATTGCACTCAATACATACTATAACCAATTAATTTGTTCTGTAAAGTTATGAGAAAGTGACTCAGTGCATGGTTTGATCAAAATGACTGCTATACTGTACATATTCATGAAGAGCAGGATGAGTCGTGAAATTTTTCCAATGACCTACGATGGGCTTTGAAATTTTTTCAAGGTACTCAGGATGGGCCACCGGGTTATTTTTTGGTAAACCTATTTTTCCCTTCGGCCCACCCTTGCAGTTACTTTATGACCGGTCCCTTAAAACACTGGGGGCCAGTTGTTTGAAAACTGGTGTCCGCCAGGAAATTTGCCAACCTCCCTGCATAAACATGTCTATTAGAAGAAGATTATTCATGAAAGTGAAAATTATATGCAATTACTAAATGTATTATACCGTTTAATAGTTTTCGATTACATGTGCTATACATTTATGAAGGAAAGTGGAAAATAGTCGGGATTAACGTCCAAAATGAAATTCGAAGTAAGGTTTGAGATAGTCTGGTGAGTTTGGAGTAAATCGAATAGCACATGTCACTAACACTTTTCGGATCATAGTTTTGTCTTCAAGTTTTGTTTCAAAACTACGTTTGGAAATTCCTGACGCATATACTACGCATGCAACCCATGATGGTTACTTAAAAGCAAATATCATTATTTAGTTTTCGCGCGGTTGCAACATCTAGAAATATATTGACTAACACTTTTCAGACCATAGTTTTGTCTTCCAGTTTTTTAAAAATCTTAGGATAATTATGGCATGGGCGCATGTAGTTGGCACTTCAAAACTTGTTGTGTATAACTCATTAATATCATTATCATTATAGCTCATTATATCGCAGCTGTTTGATTCAGTAAGATCAAATCCAGGCCAGATGACAAACTTTATAAACTTTTACCCCCAAAGAACAATCACACATATAATTTGAGGCACAAACGTTCCTAGTTTACTCCAAACTCACCAGAATATCTCGAACATGCAAACTCTATCAGAACTCATTTCAGATACTGTACTATATATAATTCGAATTTCATTTTGGACGTTAAGCCGGTCCGGTTTTCATTAGGCGGAATTTTGCGTGCAGTGCGGAATTGTTCTTTGTCTTGTGATTTCTCGGGTGGAACTCATTAGAAAAGACAAAGAAAAATTCCGCTCCGCGCGCAAAATTCCGCCCAGTGGAAAACCGGCTCATAGTTTAATCCCGACTAATTTCCACATTCCTTCATAAATGTAGCACATATAATTGAAAACTAACGGCCGACAGTATAACACATTTGGTTGCATATAATTAATTTTCACTTTCGTGAGTAATCTGCTTCTAACCGTTCGGTCCTAAAGGGGGTGGGGGGAGGCATATTTTCTAGAAAATATGGCCCGAGGGACAACTTTCCTAGGCAATTTAGCCCGGAGGGGGTCACATTTCCTGTTGCAACGGCCATTTGCTTAATCATAGGTTAACTAAAACCTCACGGCAAACTTCCCAGCAGTTTGTTTATAAACTTGGAAATATTTTTCAGAAATATTGTCTGGACCTTTCAGTACTTGACTTCTGGGGAGGGCAGTCTAGAACATGCACGACAAAAGTTAAATTAGCTCAAATTAATACTAATCGTACTTGGACCGGGTTCAACTTGTTGACAAGATCCAGCGACAAGTCTTGCTAATTTCGTATGAATATTATCAAATGTTGCCAGTGCTGCTTCTCCTGGGCTGGAAATCGCTCTCAGTGTTGTCATATTGACAGAGCCAACCCCCAACCCAATTATTAGCACTCCTCTGTCTTTTAATATCTGCGCTTGAGCGATGGTCTTTTGTGTCACGTTCCTAGCACCGTTAGGTTCACCATCCGTGAGTAAAAGGATGATGTCATTATATTTACTACGGTGGTTCAATGGACTGCGGTCTTTAAATATCTAAGAAACAAAATTTGGGATATAACTTTCATTGAAATGCCTCAAAATTTGGCGTAACAACTTTGCACAGTTTCAAAATGTTATCGGGTTAGGAATGCATGAGGGGTCAGGAATTAAAATGGGAAGTTGGATAAAGTATGTATATTATACTTCAAATTCAAAGTGTCCAATCAGAAAGCTAAGTTTGTGCCACGCGAGTATGAAATTTATCATCAAATCGTGCCTTACGTCATCGTATTTGACGTAAGCGGGTGACTGATTCATATAACATGGCAATTTGATCATGTCATCCGGGTCAGACATGATTCGCGTAACCACGTGCGGCGATCACGCAAACAAGATAGCCGACAAAATATACTACTTAATATTACGTTTTTATACTTATTAATTTTTAAAAAGACGTCGTTTTTTTGAAGAAAGTTTGAAAAATGTTATCATCAATATTCCAAGCGATATGTGATTCGAAAGAAAAGCGACGATACTTGCGTTAATCCAAAAATAAAACATCGCATTCACCAGGGTATGTGGCAAGTTTTATATGTCCGCTCAACTTGGAGGCTTTTAATTCTCGGTATAATATATCATTTATAGACCCTCCGCTCGGGGGACTCGGCGAAATATTACCCTCAGTGATGAATATCATCACTGAGGGTAATATTTCGCCGAATTCTCTTCGCTCCAGGGTTATCATGATAAAGATAAGATCAGGGTTAAGTTAGGGTAAGGATTGGAATTAGGAGTATCAAAGATTATAGACAGGAATATGGTTCAAGGAGTAAGAGATTGCTGTATTTAACTTGAACTGACATTCATTAAAGTGCTTCAATATGGCGTCACAACTTAATTATAATGAGGGATTGAATTGGTTTAGTAAATCAAGCCAAGAATCACGTGTCAACCAAACAACAATTACGCCCCCTTCTTTCCCTCCGAGACAATGTTTAGGCCAGGGACGTCGCTATAGGGGTGTGTGGGGGATGTAACAGCCCCCCCCAATAATTCAAACGTTGGTCAAAGTTGTTCAAAATGGAACTGATATTTGCCCAAAGTTGGTCAAAATGGAACTGATATTTGCTTAAAATTGAAGGTAAAACTCGGAAAAATGCGGTCAAAGTTTGGGATAAAAGATGGTCGAAGTTGCTCAAAGTTATGAAATGGTTCGCAATTTTAACAATTTTGAAGCTTTTGTTATGTTTGCGGTGAAAAAATTGGAAGCCTTGCTTATCTTGGTCGAAAATTTTTGAATATGCTTATGTTAGTCCGGAAAATTTTTTTGACAACATTTTCGGGAAACATTCCTACGACTTGGTCAAAATCTTAGGAAATGTTGGTCAAAACATGACGACACTCCCCTCCCAATGTTGATGGCTTCCCGACGTCCCTAACAATGTTGTATGACATTAGGGCAGAGGGTTAGCTCAAACATTTCCTCAACATTGTCTACGGGGGTAGAGGGCATGAATTCAAAAAGACTCGGGATAAAACATTGAAACGTCTCATTATTTTGGCACTTGATTGTAGGGAATTAGTTATAAGAATTTGTACGTTAATCGTGTTTTATCACATATAAAACACGACGCGTAGTTAATGATTGAAAGTATAAAGAAATTTTAAACCGAAATATTAATGTTTAACAGCTAGCGAGAGATAGCTGGAACTTGTATTTATAAAAGTGCAGATAAAACGAAAATTTTTAATCTCTTAATTAAGCGAGAGAAAATTTTTAATTTTTGTTGTTGAGATATTTTGACTTGTGCATGTGATATTCAAATGAATAATTATTATAACTTAATGGCTTGCTCGTTTTTCCCACGGTAACGTATTAGTTGAAAATCGTGTTCGGTTTCACAAATATTGAATTAAATCGCATGTGTATATCGTCTCTAATGTTTAGTTTGATTGTCGAGATGTTACAGATATACCGATGCAGTATATATGTTCAATAACCGTGAAAATAAAGACAATTTCGACGAATACATCAGCAAACTAACTAAACTAGTCGAGCCATATACCTTATATATATATATTAATTCCATATCTCATTTGTGTATAACACAAGACGTCATGAACAAAAAATCTTCAAACGCAGTCACTTTACAGTTTTAAAAGTTCTGTGGTTGTTGTGGTTATTAACATTGAGATTTGTGGTCCGAAAACAGCAAGTCCTATTAGGCATTCACGGCAATAACATGTTGGAAAATAAACGTGGTTATTTTTGGATGTTGAATATTCTCGATGGCTGTCATTTAGAACGTTCATATAGGGAAGAGGATTTGTTATATGATTTAGAGGGAGTATACATTTTCTGGAAGCTATAGTCCTGATATTGTACAGCACCACAACTAATAAGTTCTTGAATGTAGATTTAGCCTAAACTAAGTGATTCGATGTTGTACAGAACTCATTGCTGAGCTAGAGACAGAGTACATGCAAAAGTAAGAACAAGTCGGGGAACATACTGCTTATTATCCTAATCAAGCAATGCAGTCAACATGACGTCAGATTGACGTCATTTATATAGTATAATGAGAAATTGCAGTGAAGGTTTCTTATCTTTGTTATCATAAAACGAAGTTATTCAAGGATCACTAAATGAAATAAAACACTCACTCAGGGACGCCGGAACTGGGGGGCAGGAGGGGCAGCCGCCGGGCAAAGGTGCCCTTTCAATTTAAAGGATTGCCTTGGCGAAATAGCGAATTGTCAGAAATGTTAGTGCAATTCTTTACGAATTTGCTTCAGAAAACGCAAGAAATGCAGTCATCGAGCTTCAAGAATAGCACAATCGCCTGGCGGAGAACCCCCTCACACCCCTATCATCCGATAAATAGAAAACATGATTAGGCGAAGTTCAACTCCCGATGTTTTGCAAACATTTCTTAGTATATATCAATTCAGGAGTGCCCTTTCACGAAAATTTGCCCCTCCTTGCCTTCACATCGTTCCGGCGTCCCTGCACTCACTGATGCCTCATGTTATTCACGTATACACATGACGTCAAGTTTGGTTGCATTGCTTTTCTAAAGAAAATGAAGTATCTCAACAACGAAACATGGAAATAAAATTCTATAAAAGAAATTACTCTAAACGGTTTTCGTTTATACGACAATAAACAGTTTCGTGTCAAATGTACTTTAAGTGATTTGTACAGGGACACAGGGTGCCAAAAAACGCTATGGAAATTCAACAGGCTGTTGTGCATCACAAACTTAACTAAACAATTCAATTTTTACATAGGACGAAAGAGCTGTTATTTAGCTTTTCTATGATATATTTCTTAAACCGTAACAATGAGATGGAAATGGCCATATACTCGTCAAATAAAAATTTTCGGTTGAAATCACATTCTTCCACCGTTGGGACATTTGTAATCAAAACGTTTTACGAAACAAGTACCTTGCAACAGACTCGCGGTGCTTTTGGATTGATTAACTTTGCATAATTAATGTTAATTATGCAAAGTTAATCAATCCAAAAGCACCGCGAGTCTTTGCAAGGTACTTGTTTCGTAAAACGTTTTGATTACAAATGTTCTCTGTTCAGAGGTTAATTGAACCATGTTTAAAGGCACAGTTCAGCCTTTTGAACGATGGTTTTTAAGGCGCATTTCAGCCCTTTTAATTGAAAAAACTAACTAGGAAAATCAAATTAAGTATAATTCAAAATCAGTAAACTCGATGTTTTTAACAATAAAAATGTTTTAAAATGTTAAAAACATTGAGTTTGGTGATCTTGAATTATGCTTAATTGATTTTCCTAGTTAGTTTTTTCAATTAAAAGAGCTGAATTGCGCCTTAAAAACCATCGTTCAACAGGCTGAACTGTGCCTTTAATGGAATAATGCAATAATGGACGTTCTTATGGTCTCACTAAGACGAATATTGACGAGTTGAGCTTATTTTAGATAATTTAACATTCAATTTTAATTCCCTCTTGGGAATTGTTTATGTTTCATTTTCACAATGCAATTCCCATGCAACGGTGGAAGAATGTGATTTCGACCGGCAATTTTTATTTGACGAGTATGTGGCCATTTCTCATTGTTACGATTTAAAAAGAGTATCATTGAAAAGCTAAATAACTGTTCTTTCGTCCTATGTAAAAATTAAATTGTTTAGCCACGTTTATGATGCACGACAGCATGCATGTTGAATTTCCATAGGCATAGCGTTTTTTTTAATTAAATTAAATTAAAGTGATCGGATGCTAGCTACACATATATATGAATATAAAAGTAAGATCTTTCCCTTACTCAAACAGGCAGTTTACTCTTTAGTATGATTAGTTTTGCTGAATTAAGTGAAATTCGAGGTGAAATTCTACAGATGAATAACATGAACGATTACCACCTTGTGAACCTGAAATCTGAATTAGAATGTTATCTAATTTTTGGGACTATACTAGTTCCAGTTATATTTTGAGATCAACAATACACACCTCTCCGGCTTTTTGAAAGGCAAAATCAGTTCTTGAATGATCACCTTTGATACTATCCCATTTAAAACCATCGATGGCGTTAAGGTATTGTGTACTATAGCCTTGGTGGAAGGGAAGACGTATCTTCGTCTGGCCTACTGAACTGAATGCCAAAATTGCAATATGAGTGCCCTGTTCTGCAACGTTTAGTTCAGGATTGTGCCCGAGTTGTTTCAGAAAAGGTTTGATTTTACTGTTAAAGTTCCTTCCGCCAATTGAGTATGAAGTATCGAGAAGAACAAGGACATCTTTTATGCATTTATCTGAAACAGATTGAATGTATTAATGAAAGTTATTTGGGATAATTGTTCTCAAGTATTTTAAATTTTAAATGAAGAATTTCAAGGCAAAAGTTAAAAAGATTTTTTCGCTACTAATTGGCGCCAGATTTTCAACTATTTGGTTTAATTTGTTTTCATATACTGACAAGTAATTCGTATAGGATAGGCTTGGAGCTGAAATACAAATTTTAACTCGTTAACTGATAACATTCAATTTTCATTCAAATAATGGACACACATTTAAAATACATCATTTAAGGCATTTAAATGATGTATTTTAAAATACATCATTTAAAACGGCATCATTTAAGGCATTTAAATGATGTATTTTAAATAATCCGGCAAAAATGCAAGCCACTCTTAGTTGCATCAATATACAGGCCGCCGGATCAAAACGAAGCCGCTTTTATTGATTCTCTTCAGAATGGTTTTGCAAACATTGACTCTGAGAGAAAAAACTTGATACTACTGGGTGATTTCAACATTGACCAATTCGGGAAAAACAACTCAGCAAAACGATTACTTAGATCATTTGCAATTCTAAACGACATCAAGCAGATTATTAATGAGCCGACAAGAATAACAGAGCATTCAAAGACTCTCATTGACCTGATTTTTGTTAACATTGAGCATAGAATTGTACAATCTGGTGTTATTCATACATCGCTGAGTGACCACAGTTTAGTATACTGTGTTATGAAAGGAGGCATTCCTAAAGTTCCCCCAAGGAAAATCGAATATTGTTCGTTCAAGAACTATAATAAAGAAGCCTTTGTTAATGATCTCAATCAAGTTCCATGGTCAGTCATAAGCGGCGTCGAAAGTGTTGATGATAAGGTACTCCTCTGGGATCGTCTATTTTCTGAAGTTGCTGATCAGCATGCTCCTTTAAAATTTAAACGTGTGAAAGGAACAAAGACCCCGTGGGTGACACCTAAGCTTACAGAAATAAAGCGTGATCGAGACTATCACCATAAAAAAGCTCGCACTTCGAATAGTACATATCACTGGAATATGTACAAAAAGTTGCGAAACCTTTCCAGCCGTGAAGAAAAGAACCTGAAATCAAAATATTACTGTCAGTTGATTGAAGATGCGAAGGATGATGGTAGCAAGATGTGGCGAGCAATAAAAGAAGTACTTCCAAGTAAAAAAGGATCAGCTATATTTTCTGTTTTTGAAAAAGGAAGACTACACACTGATAAACAATCTGTTGCAAAGATTATGAATGATTATTTTGTGTCTATTGCCGGCAAAACACTATCAAAGGCCTTTGGTCGCAATGCCCCTGTTATTCCTGTTATCAACTCACTGTCCACCAATTTCCATCTCAATAATGTCTCTGTAGAGTTTGTTAAAGATACTTTAAGATCTTTAAAAAGGAACAAAGCTGTCGGCCTGGATAAGCTGAGCGCCCGCTTATTAAGGGATGCCTCCGATGTTATCTCTCCAGTCTTAACGGAACTGGTTAACAAATCGTTCACAGACGGGGTTTTCCCTACGATATGGAAATCAGCAAAGGTCTCGGCATTGTTTAAAGGCGGAGACAAATCACAAAAGGACAATTACCGACCAATATCAATATTACCAACTGTGAGTAAGATTATTGAAAAAGCGGCGCATGTACAATTGTGTTCTTATTTGGAAGAGAATAAGTTACTGTCGCATTCCCAGTTTGGCTTCCGCCATGGGCGATCAACTTCTACAGCGTTGAGTAACTTCACAGACCAGATTTTAGAGAATATGGATGGTGGAAAGGTAACAGGCGCAGTGTTTCTAGACCTGCGAAAAGCTTTCGACACTGTCGACCACACGATTCTTGTTCGTAAACTCAAAAATGTAGGTGTGTCTGGTAAGAGTCTGGCATGGTTCAATTCTTATCTCAGTGGCCGGAGTCAACAAACGATGTGTGGTGATGCGACATCGTCTGCTGCAAATATCACCTTGGGAGTACCACAGGGAAGTATTCTAGGACCGCTGTTGTTCCTGGTGTACATAAATTGAGTTCAGTCTGTCCTAAAACATTCTAAGATGACAATCTTTGCTGATGATATGGCTTTTTATTGTCCCGAGAGTTCTGCTACTGATTTGCAATCGAAACTGAACTTAGACCTGAAAGCTATCTCGGTTTGGTTGCGCGATAACAAGCTCACACTGAACGTTGAGAAATAAAAATTCATGATTATCGGTAGTAGCGCCAAACTGAAACAATTGAATCCTATAGAACTTGTAGTTGGGGATGAGCAGCTGGGGAATGTTTCAGAGTTCAAGTATCTTGGCGTGATTATCAATCAACATCTAACTTGGCATAATCATATCGATCAGATTCAGAGTAAAGTCGCGCAAAGGTTGGGTGTTCTCAAAAGGTTGAAGCACCTGCTCCCTATTCATGCAAGGAAACTATATGTTTCAACAATGATCACACCTATATTAGAATATGCTAATAATATATGGGGTGATAAAAAGAACAATGTTCTAATGGATTCAATACAAGTATTGCAAAATAAAGCAGCCAAATTGATCTTGGATAGACCACCACGCTCCTCGTCAAACGAAGCTTTGTCGAAACTGAATTGGCTAGACCTGTCTAGTAGAAGAAAATTGCAACGTTGTGTTTTCATGTTTGATCTTATTCATGACAGTGAAAGAAACAATGTGATAGTTAGAGAAACTGACATTCATAATTACAACACACGAATGAAAGATACCATACGAAAGGAAAGAGTTGCAACTAAATGGGGAGAAACGGACTCAATAAATAGTGCACTATCACGCAATGTTGTTTGTCAGTGTTGTAAACGATACACTGCAAATTGTTGACACAAAAACAACGTTAAATAATTGTGTAGTTATTTGAAAATGACGTAGCAAAACACAGAATGTTGCTTCGCCGTTAAAAAATGACGTGGAATATACCAACTTTCCCACAACGTCTTGGCAACGTTGTGTAATGGTGAAAAAATGACGTTGTATACGAACGTTCTCACTACGTTGTTACCACGTTGTGTTCAGGCGTTAAAAATGACGTTGTATACAAACGTCTACAAAACGTTCTCACAACGTTTGCAAATAATACTCTGCGATGTGAATGTAGTATAGACGTTGTCACAAGGTTAGGTCCGACCTGACCAAAATACAACCTTTAAATAACGTTGCGACAACGTTATGTGTTAGCTGGGAAATGACTGGAATATTTTACCCGTAGACCTAAGATCAATCCGTACGAGGAGGTCTTTTAAGACAGCAATTCTTAATGAACTCAAGACTAAGAGTTATGCATAATGACACTAATTTTACTTGTATAGCTCTTTTAACTATATAGCTCCTTTAACTTTTAACGAGCTTCTGTTTTATACATGATTCATAATCTAATTTTAGTATATATGTAAGATGATTTTAACTCTGTTAGTATCTTTAGTATTGTTGTGTATTCTTTGTTACACAGGACCCTTTTGAAAACCACATTATGTGATATTGGCCGCCTGTATAAAGAATTTTTATAAATAAATAAATAAATAAATATATAAATTTCTCAGTTAGAGTAAACGAGATTCATCATTCATGAGCCAGAGAACATTTTTCAACTCTGCCGAAATCAGCACTATAATCGTGCGTTTTCCTAAGAAAGTATATAAAGATAGATAAAAAATGTAATGAATATAATCGTAAAATAACCGTATCGTATACGTAAAGTCCAGCAACGTATTCACACTATCGCAACATAATAGCATATTTACACTATCGCAACGTGTAAAATAATAGGGAAATGAGGTAACGTTACACCCTTTTAATGTAATTCTACACTAAATTAGGTGTTAACGGGATACTTTTCTACTTCACAGCAATGAAATGTTACCAGAACGCTAGCATTTAAAGGGGGCAAAATGTCCGTGAAGTTTGGAGTATTTGGAGTTTGGACTATTAGCTAGTATTGTAATACTATGAGTTAAGCTAGCGCTTGTTGCAGTGGAAATGATATGCAATTAAGGCGATTCTATATGATTGCAGCTACGATTCCTTCTATACGATACACGGAAGTAACAAGTATCTATAAACAATCTATAAAATCTGTTAATGTTACGGTCAGATAGTGTCATATTAGTGCGGGGTACTGTACACTGAAGGTACAGGCTGCTAACATCTTCTTTATTAAAATTATTTATTAAAATTATTTTAAAAGGGCCGTTAATTATATACAAAATGGTATTACAATATAGTGTTTTACAAAGGAAATAACAAAATATTAATATGAAGATCTTAAACAACTATATACATGGAATCATATGCATTTGGTTATTTCAAGTCGCACTTTAAGCTCTTCAGCTGCAGGCGCATCATTAGACGCAGACTGATTAAAGACCGGATCTAATTCTAAGTCTATACTTCAATGATGATCGTCTATACAGTTAAAAATCTGGCAAGTTTTGCAAACAAAATTAGTTACTTAATTTGCGCGCTATCCCTCCGTGTCTGCGAAAAACAAAAAACTGGATAAACGAGCGTATTTCCCGGCAAGTCATGCCATCCACTTTTGCTTACTCCACAAAGAAAATATCTGATAATGGGCAGTGGCGCCGGCAAGGGGGGGCGAGGGGGGGGCAGCCGCCCCCCCCCCAATATTCTCCAGAGTGGGTTTTTGGATTTGTCCAAATCCGATGTCGTAGTGGGGGGAGGGTGCGGCGTGTAATGACCAAGGAAACGAAAGAACGAAAGCCGTCTTTGGTGGATTTATACCGCGAACTTCTTCAAGAACCCGAATGCTTCCCCAATTTGTCAAAAATTATTAAGATTGCCCTTACTCTCCCTTTGACATCAGCATCTGCTGAGAGATCATTTTCCAAGCTGAAAATAATAAAAAATCGCCTGAGATCGACGATGCGGCGAGATCGACTAGAATCGCTGATGCTCATGTCCGTGGAATCTGACATTTGTCGGGGCCTCGACATCGAAGGACTCGTTGAACGATTTACCGACGCAGCTCCCCGAAGATGGAACTTGTACTAAATATGTATTATAACATTAAATTTTTCATTTCATTCTTGGTTTTATTAAAAATACATTTGATTTATATATTGTATGGAAATCAATTATGTTCCGATCTACTAAAAAAGTGATTTATTAAAACCTTTATGTTTCTCTTAAAGTGCCTCCAAAACGCAGGAAATGCGGTTTTAGACACCCAAAATTCAAAATTTTCTCGGGGGGCATACCCCCGAACCCCCCTAGTAGGCTAGTGCCTTTGGCACTCGAATGATTTGCCCCCCGAAAAATAAAACCTGCCGGCGCCACTGATAATGGGAGTGTTATACTCGCTGATCTGTCGTAGTAGCCTATAGATCAGTATACAGTAGTACGGTACCATAATGACCAATGTAATATTAATGATGTTTTAATAACTGAGTTACAATAAAGATGGATGATGGATCAAGCGGTGTTTCTGTTACCCGAACACTCAAAAAATTAATTGCACTTTAGATAGTTAAAATTTTACTTAAAATTGCAATATATTATCTATAATATATATACCATTTGACTGAGCTTTGGTCGGTGCATTCAGTAAAGCCATGATTACAATCATGAGATCTCGAACTTTCCCCATTCTTGGCATCAACGATATAGAACTTCGCTAAAAATCAACAATGCCAGTGAAGACACTTCTTGGCTTAATAACTACGAGCGACGAACTAAAGGAGAATTTACAACACCAATCAATTTCTTCCCTAAATTTTGGGAAATTCGATATTAATCATTCAAAATATTCACAACTATTTTGACTCACAAAACGTCGGCATGTCGATTATTGTGAAACGCGGATTAGATTGCATGGTCTTGCATGACTCCCGCTATACTTTCCAAATATCCGGTTTGGGGTATAAAATTAATGTACTTTATGAACCAGTATGTTTTTGGTCTTTTCTGCATGTTGCGCTCTATATTCATAGAAGATATGGCTGTCGTCTGCAGGCTTTAGCAAAAGATTGTTTTAACACAGTATCGAAGGAGCAATGTATGACTGACTTATATTTGCGAACATTGCCTATAATTACATCACTTCGTAACAGAATACCCAAAGGCAAAAGGGTTACGCGGTTTTCACTTTTTAGTATAGCGAAAACTTTTTTCAATTTAGAAAATAAAGCCCTAAATTCCATCGAATGGCGTGCAAATACAGTCAAATTTGACAGTTGTTTATTTTCTCTCACATGTACACACATGAAAACATTACCAAACTAGGTCAAAATTTTCGTATTTTCTGAATGTTAACGAGTGATGCGTATTTAGTTTCAAATTTTTAAAAGTTCAAGGTTTCATTTTTTCTAATTTTACTGGCTAAAACGCATTATGTTACAGCCGGATGCACCACCGTCACATGATATCTTTATTCTTTATCAACAAAGTTTTGCCGAAAATTTATTACGAGCAGTTGATAATGAAAATAAAGAAATCTGTTCTGGGCCTCGTTCTGGGCGATCTTAGATGAGCTTTTTCTTCAATTTCATTAAGGCCCAATCCTGACCACCGATGGCCAACATACGGCATACGATTGAAAACCACCGCGTTGATAACTGAGTCAAACGGATTGATCGCGATTACTTTAACATCCTTTACACTTATTGACCATTTTATTGCTAATGAACCACTGCACACACTAGATAAAGAAAATGTTTTTGAAATTAGGAATGTGAAAAAATTCTTGAATCTTGAGCTGGGCTTAATTAATCCTATTCAGGGTTAATCCGAAGCCAGCGGTATATTTTTCTTCGCCCAGATTAGTATGCTCCCAGCTCGCTCGCTCGCAGGTCGCAATAAACGTGCTGTTACGTCTTTTTACTTCATTTCTTACTTGACGAGAAATTGATCGAACGCTAGTTTACTCAAATGTTCACACTATTAAAGTGAAAGTTTAATATGAATCATTTACCAATGTCCTATCGAAGTTTAGTGAACTTGAAATCTGCATGAGTATATCATAAAGCAGCCATGCGCCCCGCAGTGGTTTGTGA